CTGTCGCAATTGTCTTTCGCAGCATCAAATGCTACAAGTACAGCATTACCGTCACCCGCTCAGAATGGTCCAGGCACACCTGTATCCCAGCTTTCGGCACAACCAACCCGAAGAGGTCCGAAACGAGCACCTCTGGTGTACCCTGCGCTACTATCCCGTGTTGCCGAGGCGCTGCTTCAACGGTTACCGCTATCTGTGCGTACAAAGCATGGCCTATCCTATCCAGATGCATTCGATGGTCGTGAAGCAGTAGATAAAATCTGCTATATTATCAAGACCACGGACAGGAGCCTTGCGCTGCTCTTGGGAAGGGCTTTGGACGCCCAGAAGTTTTTCCACGATGTCACATATGATCATCGGCTGAGAGATAATTCGAACGAAATCTATCAGTTTAAGAGCAGCGTTCGGGGTCTGAAGCTTTCCGACTCGAGCACCTCTGGTACTATTTTGGGTCACGCGAGAGGTGATTCGAAGAGTGTGAGCCCAAACACTTCTATCAGCGGTAGCTCTCATCGACCGTCAACATCAAAGGCAAGTACCCAAAACTCGTCCGCATCCTCCAACGATCATGGTGCACCACACCACTACCAGTCCGCCACTGAGGCAACCGTAATTCCTATATCCAATCAATCCTTCGTTTCTCAATCTTATACATCACAGCAGGTGGACGATCATGCAGTAATACTTATGGAGGAGCCCATTGACGAGATGGAACTACCCACAGGAGTCTTCACCATGCTAACCGAATGTTATTCTGCTACTTGCACCCGCGACCATCTTTGTTATTCAATTACATGTCCAAGAAGGATGGAACAGCAAGCAAGGCTTAACAACCGGCCGGGAAGCGCTGGCGGCCATCGAAGCACTAGCGGCGCATCATCATCACGAGTTGGCAGAAGGGCCACCATTGGAGGGGCAAACGGGATTCCAGGAAGTGATAGCTTGCCTACTAGCCCAGTAACCAGTACAAGCGCACATGGACACCCCCAAGGAGGTGTAGCACGACTTGAAAAAAGGCCCGAAGGTGATGCCATCGGAATGGGGGATGATGACGAAGATGGCACTGCTGAGACAGGACAGCTTTGGATCCATAGCGTGGCAAAAGAGATAGCAGACACACTAAGCGACAC